GAGAGAGAGAGAGAGAGAGAGAGAGTGCAGAGAGAGAGAGAGAGAGAGAGAGGAAATCTATCGAGGTGGCCATGGTCTCGTCGGCGAGCGGGCTGCTGAAGTAAAGTGGCAGTCACGCTGGGTCCTCTTGGCTCTGGGAGACGATTGCATTTGAGAGTGGTGGTCAAGGAGGTTCAGACTCTGTGCATGCATGTCAGTGTGTGAGAGCCAGAGCCAGAGCCAGAGCCTGAGCCAGAGCCAGAGCCTGAGCCCCGAGTTCAGATGGAGAGTGAGGGATCGCTCATCGTTGAGCACGGCGCGCTGGGGTCTCCTGTGCGTCAGAGGGACGATGCTCTTTGAGCTTGGACTTGGGATAGGCAGCTTCACGGCCTGGCTGCTGCTGTTTGCTTGCTGAATTGATGGCCGAGTGGCCAGGAAAGGGTTGAAAGGGAATGGCTCGGCTCGGCTCGACTTTGAGCTTGGCCGGCATCATCCTGGACACATGGCGACAAGAGCTGACCATGACCCTTGCTCTTTGCTGGTTTTGCAGGGTAGCAGAGGCGTAGATGCGCCCATCTTCCTCTGGGCGTGACTCTCTTGCTCACGTTGCTCGTCACTGAATGGGCTCATCGGTAAGTCTGAAATGATCGTGCCACACTCCGTGCAAGCCTGACCCGAGCCCACTGACGTTCTCATCCACTGCGTGGATAAACTGACTGGTCTCTTCAATCGCGGCCTTGGTGTGTGCCTGCTACGGGGGTGTCAGCACCGGGTCCAAGTGCATAGCATCACATTATTTCTATACGTGTTACCAGCTGGTTCTGGTCCTCGTTCAGCGCCAGGTAGGAGATGGTCGTTGTCGCAAAGTCCCTGTCCAGCTAAGCCTTTCATGGCCCGTGTTGCTCGTGCTTACCCTTCTTTTTTTGGTTTGGCGGTAGAGGCGCATCTTTCGCCATGGCCCCGCCTCGCCGCCCGCCAGCGCGCCCGGTACATATCACATGCCAGCGGTTCATGCTCATTGCATGCCTGAAACTCGAGCCTTGCTTTGCTTCCGCAATGCGCTTTCTCACCCCTCTTGCCTTGCTTGCGACGGGCATCCCATCCGTGGCGTGGAACAAACTGGCGCGCTGGTTTCTTGCTCGGACGTGTGTTCATGTAGAAGGCATCCGTGGGCCGCCGCCAGGCACGAGCACTTAGCGAAACAAACGGCAACGGTGCGCGACTCTGCATCCATCACAGGCGCTCGTTGCTCTTTCGATCCTCTCAGTCATTCTTGCTCTCTTCTGGCATCCACCTTCCCTACCCGCCTGGCTCTTGCATGACCTGCAGCAGACGACTCGAGCCACTATAGCGACGACTCATCAGCCTTTACTCGAGAGGAGCCTTCCACGCCCGATGCAACCATGACCGAGACCGCTGGCGCCATGTCCCGCGGCTCGCTGTCCTTCGATGCTTTAGTGCCTCGCTTCATGGCCGTTCTGCTCCAGGTCGCGCGTGTCAGTTTATTGCTGCTCAATCTCTACTTGTGGAACTTCAACGGCAGCGCCGTGGCCTATGTTGGCTTTGTAGCCTTCTTGACATTGCGCAAGGTCTTCTGGCGCGCCATCAAGCCCGACCTCAAGGCCATTATGGCTGGCCAGCTCACAACTAGCGTAGCCTGTCGAACAGGCATCTTCTTGTTTGTGCTGGGACAATTCTTCTTCCGCTGCATTTACGTCCTCGCCTCGACTCTCGAGTGGCGATCCGTCATGCTCCTCGTTTATCCGTTGCTGCTGCGCCTATCGGCACACTACATGATCTCATCGCCCCGCGAAGACCCCGCGCTACTCAGGTCTGCTGACAGCACCCGTGCTCGCTTCAGTCATCCTTTCCACCCGCGTCACCATTGCAACAAGGCTGACCATGGGGCACGGGTTTTTTTTTTTTTTTTTTTTTTTCCGGGGTCATTGTTGCAGGGAATTGCTGCGTGCTTCAAACTACAAGTTTGGGCCAGTCGTCAACATTGTGGCCAAGTTGCTACGCATTGCTTTGTTCGACTTTCTCGAAGCTAGCTATTACTGTGCCTTCGTACCCGTTCTGCTGGTCTCGGTGCGCTACGTTCGCGCCTGTCCTTCCTCGTCGTGGCTGTCTGCACCCATGTCTCTGCTTGTTCCCATCCTGCTTTATCCGGGAATGAAGGGTGACAAAATTCCCCATGAGTGCACTGGGGCCGGGCTTCTGCAAATGCGCCAGTGCCCGTGTCTTGGCTGTGGTTGATAATGTTTTATTTTCTCTCTTTGTGCTAGTGCTCACCTTGGTTGCCCTTTCTTCGTAGGCGGAGCGGTATCTGGTGGATTGGGTGCAGAGCCTGGTGCTCTGCGTGCTGTGCTCGTTGGAAGCGGGGACAATGGCAGTTTTGGAGCTGTATCACGTGCATGGCTATAGTCTATACTTGCACTCGCGACGACTCGGGGCATGGCGGAAGGTGGCGGCCACCGGGGCTGAGACGTGGCAGACGGGCAAAGCGTTTTCTCGGGGAGCGATCGTGCGTCATCGCAAACGCTGTTACAAGGCCTTGGACCGCAGCAATATTGCGGACCCCAGTGATACCATGGCCTATTACTTTTGGCAAATGTTTCGAAGACCTGATTGGAGCCTCAGCGTTATGGAGATTCAGCAAATGCTCAGCATCTTGGTGCAAATTGTGCCGCTGATTCTCTGCCAGCACTGGCTCTTGATCTCCATTTGGGGCGTCTCTTTGCTCACAAGCTTCATGGTGTTGGGGTACTCTGTCATCCTACGGCGCCAGGCATGCCGTTACCGCTCTCGTGATGAGCAGAGCTGGCAACACACCCGGCGCAAGGGTCAGCCTAATCGTTCTTGAGTCGCATTCTTCTACACTTACGCGCCTTAGGCGCCTTGCCCAGCAGATGCAAGCATAGCATAGCATGGCTTGCAGAGCACGCTGCTGCTACACTGATTTTGCCTTTGGCTCTCTCTGGATGACTCAGACTTGTTACGAGGCGCCGCTGTTTGCGGTGCCTTGCAGTCTCATCTTGGACGTTTTTTTTTTCTTTGAATTGTCCACTCTTGCTTTGACATTTTGTGAGATGGGCGCCGCAACGAGCCAACCAAATCGAAACCGAGACAAATCAACCACCCGAAGCGTCGGTGCGTGAAGGGCCACACCATTCTTACGGTGGGCCTGGCACGGTCTTTCGGTTCGTCGAAGCTTTGCCTGAAAAGCGCGGCCAAGTTGCCATGCCGCTGCGTTTGAGTTCAAAAGATTGAGTTCAAAAGATGTACTTCATAATCAAGGGGAATGGAATGCAATTGTGTTGCTGTGGTGAGTCGACTCTCTACTGTGTCGAACCTTGACGCCAAAGCAGAGCCACATGAGCTAAAGAGGGCACAGCAGGAGGAAAAAGAAAAAGATTTGATGCCCTGCTGTGCAAAACTAAAAGGAAGACTAATGTCAGCAATGACCCGAGAGAATGGCATCAGTCACGCATGCCCAGCCCTCGGCGAGAGCAGAGGGTGAAAAAGAAGCCGAAGAATAAAACCAAAACCGAAACCGAAACTACTGTGGACACAAACAGGAGAGGAAACGACAAAGCCCCCCAAAAAACGAAAACAGAGCAAAACCAAGAAGAACCAAATACATGCCCAAAAAAACAAAGCAAAAAAACTGATTGACACAGAGCATCTGAGGAGGGGAAATGCCACCCTGAGGCCACCTTGAGGAACTCAGGGAGAGCCCCATCAACAGACTCTGCGGTACCAATCGAGCTGCTTATTTGACGCGCTTGCAAGGGTTTGTGAGCTTGGCCTGAAAGCCGTTGCGGTCGGCTTTGTGATGTTTGATCAGCTCGGACAGGGTTTTGTACTGGTGATTGCCCTGGTCACGGTGCGTGTTGTACATGTCGTTCTCAAACTTCACCTGGTTGTGGTAAAGCTTACCCTTGTAGCAAAGCGAAAGGACAAAAGTATGCGCTTCCTTGGTGGAGAGTCGAAGAAGAAACCAGCCATCCCAGCCACCGTCGTCGCGCTTCAGGAGCCGCACCACGTCGCCTCGAGTAATTGGGCCATGGTACCACTCCTGCTCTTCATAATCATCGACCTCCTCGTTGTTATAGAGTCCGTCAATGACAGGTGCATACTACGAATTGAATGAGGAGCGGCAGGATGAGCACAGGTGGGAGACATGCCACATCAGAGAAGTTTTGGAACGATGGCGTGATGGTCGAGACTCAAGTACAGCGATGAACACGCACGCGGTGCAGAATAAAGTGGCGGCGGAGTTTGAACGTGGGAGCCAGTTCACCCGTGGCACAACTGAAACCGCGGCGCAAGATCTCAAAGTTTTCGATGCGTTGCGCCGTGGACACGGTGCGTGCATTCACTGTCGCAATAGCCTAAAGATGGTGAAAGGCAGACCGAAGCGCACAGTGAGGCAAAATGGCCGATATTATTCGTCTCTGCGGCCTGCTACGCGAACCATACCTCACGGATGATTTGGCGAGCCTTCTCGGCGTGGGCGCCCTCAACGCAGTGCTGAGCGGTAGTGGCTAGGCAGCCACGCTCTTTGAGGGCTTCGAGCGCCGTGGGATGAAGTCGATCCGTGGGCTGCATACTTTCATCAAGTGTGGTATGCAGCACAATCAGCATGGACAGGGCTTTGCGTTTGTGGCCCACCAAAACCGCATGCTCGACCAGGCCATCCAGCTCCCGCATGAGCGTGTCCTCGAGGGGCCCCGGGGGCACGGCAGCCCCCGACGCCAGGCGCACGAGATCCTTTTGGCGGCCAGTGATGTATAGGAAGGCGCTGCGATCGGCTTGTCCAATGTCATTTGTATGCAGCCAGCCGCGCTCATCAATGGCCTCGGCCGTCAGGTTTGGACTGTACAAGTAGCCCATAAACACGTGGCGACCAAACAGGAGAATCTCGTGCGTGCCATGCACCATGCGCACTTGAGTGCCTGGCATGCACTTGCCGGCCGAGGCCGCGCGTGACAAGGCCGGCAGGGAGAGAGTGTGAAAGCCGGTCGACTCGGCGCAACCATACGTTTCATAAATGGGTAGGTTGATGGAGAGAAAGTACTCGGCAAGTTTGGGAGGCAGGTTAATGTCGAAGCACAGGGCCATTCGAACTTTGTCCATGCCGATGTTTTCCTTGATCTTGGCAAAGACCATGCGCTCTGCTTTCTCAAAGGCCTTGTTGTTTGCTTCTCCACGCTGCACTCGCAGGGAACCAATAATGCCAGTGCGGGCCACCTGAATCACACCCAGGCATTTTTTTTTTTTTTTTGACCGGACATGAGAACGTTGAATACCCAAATGCCGACCAGATGACCAACGTGGCACTTGCGGGTATGTGAGGCAAAAACGTATACACTCATGGAATGCATCGACAGAAAAAAATACAAGCAAACAGATACACAAATCATGCCATGGCCAGAGGCATTGATGGAACAAAGGGGTGTGGAGCGTCGTGTATTGAACCGACCTTGGCACTGAGCTTTTTGCCAGGGTTGCTCAGCTCCATGAAGCGCTCAAAGATCCAAGGGGTGCCAAGAAACAGCGTGGGCTTGACTTTGCGCGCCATGTCTAAGACCGTAAACTGTGCCAGCAAAAGTCGAGGTTTGGAGAGGTGAGGCTGGTTGTGCCATGCGGTCGCCATCGATTGGCCAGGCACTACGCACGCGCTCAAGGGGGTCGTCGGCACCAAAGTAAACGGGAATGGCGGCAGCAATGGGCATCCAGAGTTCAAAGGTTTGGGCAGCGGCAATGGCGGCCGGCAGCGTGGAAATGAGGCGGTCCTGTTCAGGCTTTGCCTTGATGCTCTGGGCGAGTGTCTTGGCAGTCCAACAAATGTTATCGTGGCTGAGCATGACGGCTTTGGGGTCTTCGGAGTTGCCTGGTGTGAAGACAATGGCGGCACATTTGTTGGCACGAAGGTCGCTTTGGCGGTCGGCGAGCTGGCGTGCTTCCTGACTATCCGGACTAGTGCTTTTGGCTTGTTTAATCATGTCAGACCAAGACATGAGCTTGATTGAGGACGAGAGGCTTCCAGCATCGGGGCTGCCCCGGTATTGAATAATGGCACGCAGACGCGGCAGCCGGTTTGCCACCTATCACAACAACAACGACAACAACAATGACACCAACCAAAGCGAAAACAAAATGACAAAACGGAAGTCAGGCAGGGAGTGAGGCGAACGGCACAGGTAGTGGTGGCGGCCGGAAACGAGCAAGAAAGACGACCTGGGCGAGCTTGCGGAGCTGCTCCGGTCCTTCAACGACGGCAATGACAACCCGGCTGTGATCACAGATGAAATGCACATCTTCACTGCTGCTGGTGTTGAGCACGTTGGTGTAGACACCGCCGCCGAGGATGGCACCACAAGCTGCGATTGAGACCTCGGCGGCGTTGGTACCCATGACGGCAACGGCGTGCGCTGGCTGCAAGCCTGAAGGGGGACGATGTACAAAGCGCAAGTAATAAGGTCAACGAGACGTCCAGTGCAAGAAGTTAAAAACATGGATCGGGTTGCAAAGGTTCCACGAGGTGGAAAGAAACACACACCGAGTTGAACAAAGGAGAGTGCGGCGAGCTGGGCCTCTTCGAGGAGAGCGAGAAAGTTGCGTTTGAGCCAGGAACCATCGGGTTGGAGGCTGGCGAGGGCGGTGGCGGAGCCGTGGTGATCTGCAGCATGCTCAAGCATTTCAAGCACAGTGATGGGCTTTTCGCTGCCAGCGCCCTCGCTTTCAATCTTGAGGGCAACCTCGCTGTGTGGTTCAGCACTCCAGACGCCTTGCTTTGTGAGGGTCTGTCCGCTACCTACAAGTCGAGCGCGATTGACGGGGGGGGGGGTGGATAAGTTGAGGTGGCATTTCCAACAGGCACAAGGGCGGGAAGCACGAAAAAGCGATGCCAGCAGCATTGCTGGACGAGCTCGAGGGCCAGGGTCTGAGTCCTGAGGGGTGCACGAACCGGTGGTCAGCTTGATGGAAGGGTCGGGGATGAAGGCACCTTCACCGGTGGCCACGTGCCAAGTGTTTTTGATATGGGATGGACAAAAGGCAATCACGTCGAGCGACTCGAGGACATGGCTTAGGACCCAAGCATCGTTCTCTGCGCGCATGCGTGAGAGGGTTGGTGAATCACCCAGTAAGGGAGGGGGCAGGCACAAGAGCCAAGACATCATCTTGGCGGGTTGGGCAGGGCACCTTGATGGAAATAGAGATAAATGTATTGGCCTTCGGCAGCATCGTAGCCCTCGGGGATGGCATCGCGGCTTCGAAAGAGGGGTTTGCCATTGACCATCTGCACGTGCGAGCGAGACGGGGTGTCATCTCGACGAACCGAGCCAGCTGGCAGCGCAGGGCCAAGCCCAAGTTGATTGGTGGTCAAGGGCAGAAAGGGAGGCGGGGAAGACACAGACCTCGGGCTCGAGATCATAGTAGCCATTGATGAAATCGGCGTGCCCGATGCGGCCGGACACGATCAAGGTCTCGTCCTGGCTCTGAGAGAGGTTGGCACGAGTGAGAGCCGCCTCGGACGTGAATGCTCGCAGGTCTGGGACCACAGCAGGGTCTCAACTGAACGTACCTGCATAGCGCCAGTTTCCCCTTATAGCCCCGGACGAGCTTGTTTAAGAGCACTGGGCAGGAATACGGGGCAGCCGGTGCTGGCCTGCCGACGAGCGCGGGCTGGGTGAGCACAACTGCAGCACAAGGTGCGGAAAAGACAATGTCGGTCATCAGGGTCACACAGAGGGACTCGCTAGGAGAGATGGATTGATGTTGTGTCTGTGCTGCTGCACCAAAGGGGCTGGGGAAGGGAGCCACCGTCGAGGCGGAGGCTGGCGCGCAGCGCGGGCTGTGTGTGTGTGTGTGTGTTGTGCGTGTGTGACCAAGCGCTCGCTCGACCAGAAAGGGGGCGGAGAATGGAGAATATGGGTATAAAAAGCGGCGGGAGGTAGATGGGGTGTAAAACCATTAAGCATCGTGCCATCAGAGTCTTGACAGTCTTACCCTGGGCTGGAGGTGATCGCCGTCACTGCTCGGCTGCCGTTTTGGCCCGATCTCGTTCCTCTTTCTTCTTGGTAAAGAAATCAAAACAAAACTGAGGGAGAGAGAGAGAGAGTGAGAGAGTTTGTGAGAGAGAGAGAGAGAGAGAGAGTTTGAGAGAGTTTGAGAGAGTTTGAGAGAGTTTGAGAGAGTTTGAGAGAGTTTGAGAGAGTTTGAGAGAGTTTGAGAGAGAGAGAGAGAGTTTGAGAGAGTTTGAGAGAGTTTGAGAGAGTTTGAGAGAGTTTGAGAGAGAGAGAGAGAGAGAACGGACAGCTGAAATGGTGTGCGTGTCAGTGTGTGAGACGTGATGGGATAGCATGTCAAGCCAGCGGCGTCAGACCGACAAGTGCATGTGTAGGGGTGTGCAATCTACAGTGGCCTTGACGTTCT